CTATCTTTTTGTTGTTGTTAAAAGGGCATACTTGAAGTATATTTAAGAATTTTAGATGTAAACATAATTTCTTTCATAACTCTTTTTCTCTTGACTGCTATAATTGTTGATGCTTGTAGTTTTGATACTTAAAAAATCAAAACTTTATTGATAAAGTGATTATTAAATATTGATGATTTTTTTTATATGTCACAAATTTATGATCTTATGATTTTATTAATAAGAATCAATCCAAGACATTAATCCTTGAGAGTAAGTGATCTTCAATTTAAAAACATCTGATTGACAAAGAATATCAGTTGAAGAATCATCTTCAAATGAAATGACAATATGACTAAATGAGTATTATTCAAATCATGTGAATTATGTTTACTTTGATTATATATTTTTATAATCATATTATGCACTGTTTAACATTTAAAAATGACGATATATATGTTCTTTAAGATTCCATGTGGATTAAATCATCAAGAAAAGGAGAAAATGAAAGTTATATTCAAACTTAAAATATTTCAGTTTGATAGTGACATGTAAATTGATTACATGGACAAAAAGTTATAATAAACTTGATGATTTGGATCTAACTTATATATCTAATATCCTCTATCAAGTTAGGAAATTTTAATTTCAAATTTGAATGAAAAAATAATCAAATAATAAAGACATTAAAAAAATGGAAAGTTTAAAGATCATTAATGGATGTTTTTGATGAATGGTAAGTTTCAAACTTGAGGTTTTTGAATGTTTGAGATCTCATAAAATCAAAACATCAGTAAAAGATGAAGGTTCACATATGAGAGGAGGTTGTTGCATTGAAAATTGATTGTATATAGTATGATTCAAGTCAAAAAATTAAGCTCTTCTGGTCCTGCACATCAATGATGTGGGAGAAAATTACATCATCTTCTCTAGCTCATTTTGGTGAAACAAGCAACTCTACTTTCACAGTTCTCTCTCCATTAGGCTCTAAGGTAATTAGGTGGTGAAGAAGGCTAATTTAGTAAAAGCATGAAGTGTTGGTAGTCATATTTAACTTAGGAGTGGCTAAGTGTCTAAACTTGATGCATTTGAGTGATTGATCCTATGAAAATCAATATGTAGTTTATGGAGGAAGTTACTAAATACTAGAGAAAATTTCAATATGGGACTAAAAGTAGCAAGATGAGGGATGAATAGTATAACATTTTAATATTTTTTGTGAGTAGTTGTTGAGAGGTCAATATCACGATATGTGTGCTAAGACATTGCAACACATACACATAGGTTTAACCCAAATAAAAAAATAGATAGAAATTTTAGAAACCCCAATTCACTTTTTCTCTTGGTGTTTCACCTAGCCCTATAGTTCCATCAATTTTTAGTTGTGTAACATGACAAGATGTTGGATGTGTTCCTATTAAAAAATTTATAAAACTATTTATATAAATACTTTTTATTTCTCAAGATTCTATTTTTATATAGGTCTCATGAATTTCGTATTTATTTAAGCCATAATATGAGTACAAAACCACCCTAAGTCATAAGATGACATGGGGCATAACCTTAGTCAATTTTTTTCTAACAAAAAAATGCATAATGAGGTAGGCATAAGTTTGGACAATAGTGAAGGAAAATAACCCCATTGTTCCAATAATATTATTCACTCTCCAAAATTCAAATGTCACTTGAAATAAGGAGACATGGTATATTGATGTTTTACTTCCTAATTGACATCACATGAGAACTCAAAGGTAATTTTTTATTTTTAAATTAAAAAGAAAAAGCTTTCTTTTCAAATGCATGAAAATTGGGTTAAAATTATGATATGAATCTTTTATTGATTGAAAAAGAATAGATATTACTAACAACCTGAGCATATGCATTTTATAGGATGCCTCACATTCAAATTGAAATTTATTTTCATTTATCTTCTTCAATTACATATCCTAAAGCTCACATCAATGTGGAAAAATCTATTTACATAAAAATATATATTTAATGAGGTCAAGAAAATTTAAAGGATGCCTCACATTCGAAATTTTAAAGTATTCTCATTCACCTTCATCAAGTACATATCATAAAAACTCACATCAAGGTGGAGATAATTTGTTTACACAACTGAAATATTTAATGAGATATATTTAAGAGCATGAAAAACATATTTAAGATTGATGTCAATCCTCTCTTTAATGAGATATCACATACCTCATTGTAAGATTAGCATATGCCACACAATTAAAATATGTAGTGAGTAACAACAAATAAGTTATTACACAACATTTTAAGATAATATTTAAAATATTTCAAAGCTAGTAGAATGTCTCTAGAGTTATCATTCATCAATCATAAAATTCACATTGAAATGGAAAGAACATATGGGGGTTTAATTTCCCAATAGATCAATTATTACATGTTAGTTAAGAGCATGCACAACATATGGCAATCTCTAATTCTTTAAAGAATAGAAAACACTTTTGTTCAACAAGAGGCAAGGATCCACTCCTAATTCAAATCATAAGATTAACACATAACTATTATCACCCAAATCAACATCAAAGTGCTTGACTAGTAGTCAAGCATATAGGAGATGACTCATAATCATTCTAATCATTATAGTTATTGTTTATTGAACCTGATTTTCTCGACATTTTCATGACATGTGTTAGTAGGCTATTGGCAGCTACATAATATTGGTAATGGGTCTTTTCGTTAAAAGGTATATTTAAAATTTTAAATATGTTAAGGTGTTTTTTTGGTAATTTCAACCCGATCAGGTTGAGATTACCAAAAAACCCTTTACATATTTTTCACTTCACCTTATTCTCAGCCGTGTCGTCGCTCTCGGGGGCGCTCTTTGACGCTTTCGGTCTCGCTCTTTGAACGCTTCCGGCCTGAACTTGTCTCGCCGTCGCTTCTCCAACCTTGTCTCGACTTGCCACCGCACCTCCGGCCTCGTCTCGTCTTGCCACCATCCCTCCGCCCTCTTCTCATCTCACCACCGCCCCATCGGGCAGTGGGCTCATCTCAACGTCACCAACGGGCTATTGATATGTCTCGTAGCCACGTCGAGTGGTGGAAGACTCGCGTTGCCATCAAGTTGTCTCATTGCAACTTCTACTCCTCGCTGCCGCCTTCACCTCGATTCTTGAATGGCTCATCTATTTTCACTTTATTTATGAATCTTACGACATAATTTCTAACATGTTATTTTCTAATGTCTTGGTCATTTTAAAGTCTACCAGGTCCAAGTCCTGTACACTACTACACTCTCATACTTAGGCAGCCTGAAAGAAAGGTTCATGTTCCATTAAGATCAAGAAAAGGTTTCTTATTAATAATATTCTCACATCGTTGATTAAACTATGTCCCAGAAAATATATATTCCAATACATTTTTTATCTCCGACTAGTTACTTAGCATCATAATCTATTTAACTTCTATGACAAATGGTGGTGTGATTTTTTGAAAAAAAGGTGATCTTGGATGTTTACCATAATTCTTTTAGAACTTTCTCATTGATTTGGAAAGTTTAAGGTAAAGATGCATGCAGTATATGTGAAAACCTAATTTCCCACTATTTACTAGTTAACAAAACCAGAGCAATAAATATAATTGCCTAGTGACACTGTTGGTGCCTAGTAACAAAACCTCGTATGGATTGTTATTAGAAAGCAGATCTAGGCTGCTACTAAATCATCGTGAATCTAGCTTTTCTAATTTACCATTAAAAGAGTGTTTAACCAACAACGAATATACACTCCAAAAGTGATCAATCAATCTACTTTCTGGCTGAAACCCAAGAGAGCTGAGGGTAGGATCATCTAGTAACCCTCGGAAAGACGGCATATTAAGCCCCTCTCTTGGTTCATATGGCCCATTGTTAGGACCAATAATGGTGATCAAGAGGAAGGAGCAAGAATGTCCCAACGATTATTCAACAACCCTATTCTATTCCCAGGTCTCATACTATGTATCTTTTGTCCTTGATACCATGATAGATTCATTAGCAGATTTCAAACATCATTAAGTCTTAGTCATACATTGAGCTCATTCCATAAACTCTCTCTCTCTCTCTCTCTCTCTCTCTCCCCTCCTTCCCCCAGTAAAAATCTAAGCTGCATTTCATCGGCAGACAAGCAATACATCCATAAAACCATCAATTTTTCACAAGCATCCCGAAAGTGACAAAAAATGTCATTGTTTCATGCCATCCGCGGTCACTTAAACATGCACAAGAAGTCTGCCAAAAATATGCGTAGAACAAGCTTGAGATGAGAGACTAAAGCAACGGCAGAGACTCCCCACACACATCACAAATTTCATAGTGGACGTATAAAAATGTAGCAGGCAGAAGGAATGCAACATTTTCTGTCCTTCATAGAAACTGATGTGATGTAGGAAAGTTCAAAGAATTAGAGAGGCCTGTGCTATGCCAAAAAGGAAATTATGCGCTAATACATATCACCAATCATGTGAAATGTCATATGATGAAACTGATCTAGACTATCATTCAGAAGGACTGGAAGCTGAAGATGTATTAAAATAGCACGTCGGTTTTATAACATGGGTACCTCAAACTAATTAGGATTAAGAAAATGGGTACCAAAATTTTGAATAGCCAAAGACTTTGGATGATGTCCTCGCATAATCATTTAACCTAACACCATGAAAGCCATTTATTTCAAAATGATCACCCCCGGAGATGATAAAGGAATTAAATTGCAGCTCATTATAGAGGAAAGAAGTAGACGAGGCACACAGAGCATCATTAAAGAAAAAGTACATAAAATCACATCCAAAAGAACTCCGAAGTGTGTGATGAAGAAATGCAGGGGACTTCCAGAGAAAAATTAAATTGCTACAAAAATACGACCGGCACCACCTCCGCGATGAACATAAATGTACTACATTTGTGCCCGTTTACCATCCGGCAAAAAGAAATAATCATTTCAACCTCAGGCTTCCTAATGATCATTCAAAGAAAGGGACGAGGAGAGGGAGGGGGGCTTTGGTTGGTCCTTCTAGTCACCCTTCTTCCGGAAGGAGCATCCCTCGGTGAGCCTGGCCTTGCCCCCAGTCGGCTGGCAAAGAATGGTCTGGCAGCCCCCGCACACCACCACCGTCTGCGAGTGGCTGAACACCGTTGTTCTGCATCACCAGAAACCGCAACCCCAACCATGGAAAAGGCATAGGGAGCATCCACACCAGATTTAATGAGGAATAAGGCCGCATACAGGAGCAAAGAAACCAGGTGATGAGGGAAAGAGAATTTACATGTTGAAGCATCCTTGGCACTTGACATCCTTTGATTGGGCAAGGAACGAAGATGATGATAAGAAAAAAATATATATCAGTACTAATCCCCCTTTCACCGGATTCAAATCTCGAATTGACGTCGGTAAATATCTTATCTCCCTTTTCGGGGTGTTTCGTACCATGAAGAAGGAATTAGGAGACTGAACCAGGCGCTTGAACTTGTGCCGCCGCTTCTCGAGCTCTGGCGGCGGGTTGAGCAAGTCGATATCGTTGGGGAGCACCTAAGCATCATCGCCAAGGCAAACCGACGTCAACCCACCGACCGAAAACAAGGGACTTAGGAAATCTCTAGCGGCTAAAAAACGATGCGTCGATCGAAGGTAGCAAGCAGTAAAGACGGGAGCGGAAGGGATACAGAAAACGAGACGGAAGGCGAAGAAAGCAAAGGGGCGGGGAGAAGGCGGTGGGAGAAGCAGCAACTTACCATAGCTGGAGCGGATTCCGGCGAGTCGGGGGAGCTCGGAGAGGGCCGCGGCGGCTAGCGCAGAGGATGTTGGACCGAATGCCCTAATCCTTCGATCGTGACGAGAGAGAATTTAATACAGAGCGGCCCTAGCCTACGTCCAGGTCCCTGGACCGTCAGATCACTTTATAGTCCTCAACTATTAAAACTATATTTACTATAACCTTTCATCATAATAATTTGTTTTAGATGCCAGGGTACGATCAGATTTCCAAATAATTTTAGTACTTATGGAAATGATTTTTTGTAGATTCTTCCAGGGTGCTTTCACATTTTTCATCACAACCCTGTTTTCCAACGCAATTGCGTAGAAAGCCAAAAGTTTGATGGAATTTCTCTTTTTAACTTCAGAACGTGTTTCCATTTTAACCCTGTGCGGGAAGTATTTAGTTTGTCATCCTCCGGGTCATCAAAGGTATTTCATAGTACACCCCTTTTAGATACATGAATTTAAATTATGAAGTAATTAAATTAAAATAACGGGTCAGAGTAAAATTAAAAATTAAACAGATAATGAAGTGATGTATATGTGTGGGACATTTTTGACGAATTAACCCCTAGATTCAACCTATGTATATTATCACAAATATAGATTTCAGACTAAAGTCCTTAGTTTCCATATATTTTGAAATACTCATGCTCCCTGCCACCCACCCTCAAACTCCCCACCTTGTACTTTGGCATCCATTTGACCTTTCTCTTTAGGATCCTTGTAGTGGGTCCTCTGATTGATCACAACAAATTTATTAGTTCGTATATTTTAATTAATTTAGAGAAAAATGGTTTTTTATTTCTAATACTACTAACTAAACTAGAGAGAAAGAGGGAGGGATTGACACAAGTTTATCACTATTCAAATATATAGTAGCCTCTATTTATGAACGAAAAAAAAAGTGAGAAAGAAATCCATAACAAGAAACGAGAGCAATTAAGTCAACGGACATTTTACTTTCATTCAAAGTAGACAATGCATAATTGTGTAAGTGGACATTTGAGTGATCCTCTAGACGTTGGTCTTATAGTCAAATTCACAAATAAAAGCAAATGTCAAATATTTTTGCTTTCAGACGCAAAAATATAGGGAAAACCCTCTTTATTCTGCTTTTTGAGATTAACTCCCCAAAAATATATATGTATTATACTTATGCCCCTTATCTCACGTGCAATTAAAAGGCCCGACCTAATCATGGTTAGGAACCTACTTCCGGTCCTTGCTCTTTGCCAAACGGAGGTCTGACCAAGGTCCAAGAGTTAACTCCTAAAGAATTTGAATGGCCATCTCAAACCTATTGATTAGTGTTTTGACTCCGAGAACCACTATAGATGCTACCAAGTTCTGCCCATTACGAAGACAGGTTTTGCACTTTGTAATGCCGTTATCACAGCATAAACACGGAAAAAGAAAGTCAACGACGAAAGTCAAAGCTGCAAGAGTCAACAGGACAAAAGCCAAGGTTGTCCTCCCAGAGGCATCTTATCCACTGCCCGCAAAGCCACTTACTTCACCTAGAGAAGAGGAGGAATAAGAGTATTGACTGATCGGGATTGGGACCAATAATCAGGTTATTAGGACCCGATCTTTGGCATCGAACAGGAGTCATCGATGTGGAGATAAATAAATAATATAAGAAAAAAGATAATGCATTAAACATTAATAGTCCATTAGAACAATAGCCAAGAAAGGGACAAAGTCAACCATAAAATTTACAGAATAAGTACAAGAATAGCTGAAGACAAAGATTCATAGAGAAACGTCTGGAGTTAAATTGTGGGTTGCGTCACAGAATATGTAGTAATTTTGGATAATTAAATGAATAAAATGACTCGGAGTATCCAAATATGTTTCTCTCACATGTTAGACAACTACAATATCCTGTGATTCAGTGCTTATTTTGATATTAACAGAGAAAGTCAACATCACCGAGAAACCAACAACACTAACCAAGAACATACTGCATAATTGGCAAGCATGTTGAACAAATGAACAAGAAAATTTGCGAACGGAGCAAATAGAAGGTGAGAGAGAAGGAACGACAGGTGATACCTTCTGCCAGGTGTTAGCATTATAAGATAAACACCCACGGTTCATCAGGCCACATGGGTTGACTTCACAACAGAAGCCAGGCGGCACCATCGTAGAATCAAAATAATCAATGGGATGAGAATTTCAGTTAGAAACTTTGACCTCATCATCGTCATCGGTTCTATCTGTCAGTCGTGTAGCAGCGACAGCCGACTGTCTCCAGCAGAGCTGTCGGCTCAATCGAGGGCAAAATTTTTCTTCATACTTTCATAAACTAAATAGGTGATGCTTGCAGCCGGCACCACTTTGAGAAGGTTGGGGAAGATTCCCTTGTAGAAGCCTCGAAAGCCTTCTTTTCGATATGTTCTCCAGAACACATCACCCATTCCCGTGTACGCAGCCTCTGCATTGGTGGGTTGGGCTTGCATTCTATAAATAAAATAATTAATCAATAGAGCCATCAATAGCCAGACATCGACAAATTTTTTTGAAACTATATAGGCAAATATAGACAAAGGGGGAAGAATGCTTGGCCGAGGCATGCCTTGTTCTGATTACTTGCAGGGGATATACACAAGTTGCGCCAAGAGCCCCAGAGATCGTTCCACAACCCAGTTGCACGAGGGGGCCAGGCTCTACGTAAATGGGAGGTCTTAGAGGAGTACAGCAGCATGTGTCGAAGAATTAAGGAATGAAAGAATGAAATAATTAAAGAATTAAAGAAATAAAGAATTAAAGAATTAAAGTTTGGGATTAATCACCACTATTCTCGAGGATGTAGGTTCTGGATAGATCTTTCAGGGTCTCATAGGCAGCGAGGTCAATCCCAGCATAGGGGACGATACCCAGGAGAGATGGAATGAGGCCTCGGTAGAAGGCTCGGGGCCCCTCTTGGAGCCATATATCTCTTGAGAGTTTACCCAGATGAGGGGCTCTCCCAGCTTCACTGGGGTGCGTCTGCAGTCTGGTTTTTATGAGATCAATCGGGTAGATGGCCGTCTGTGCAACTGCGCCGGCTAAACCGCCGGCGATAAGCCGCCCAGAGGCACCAATATCATTCATATCTTCGCCTCTGAGATTGACGATGACCCCCTTGAGCATCTCAAATGTGTAGAACTTGATAGCGCTCTCAGGTGTCACCTTGACAACATTTAAGCCGTTCCCTCTGAAGAACCCCAGTAGGCGGCCTTCCTTCCATATGTCCTTTATTGCGGGGATTATATTTGCCTTTGCTGTTTGCACTTGCAACAGCACTTTGAGACGGTCGAGGGGAGCAGTGGCCGTACGAGAAGCTGCTCCGGCGACTCCCCCAGCAATGAGGTACTTACTGGCATCCAGATGCTTACTGATTCCCTCGGGGATGACGGCTTGCTCGCCGATATCTACGAGGCAGACTCTCTCCCAGTAGCGGTAGATGTTCTCGATTGTTACCTCATGGGGGTAGAGCAGAAGGAAATCTCTCCACTCGTCGAAGGTGATGATCCCGTCATTATCCTTATCGACGTGCTCTACAAAACGAGCGAGCTCCTCATCGTTGATCTCAATTCCTGAAAAGGAAAAGTTGCAAATATTTCTTCATACGTGGACCAAATTTCTGGATGAAGAGTTAAAAATTTCTGAGAAGGTAACCATAATCGGCAGCAACCAAAATGAGTGGGTCCATTTTGCCTCCGTTCGGTCAGAGATACAAAGGGCACCATTTGTGCACATCATAGGATTTACCCAGGAAAACCGAAAGCTAAACAGGCATTATTCCAACATGTGTGTTCAGAATTAAACGTTTTACAAGTTTATGAACCAGTTCTACGTCATCAAGATTAATTAGTGAAGATCAATAGTCGTAGCTTTGGCAACGGAGAAGACCAGTACCAACAGTAGTTGCCTCCTGATTGGCGAATAGAGAAATTCCCCAAGAACAATTTTGCCAAATTCTTATAGCTAAATTTACATATTAAAATCCCGCGACAGAAACATTGAAGACCGTCCAATAATTTTGAAAGCGCCCTAAGGAAATAAGAGGAGAAACAAATCTTTCTCTACATGGAGGAGAGTCACACACACAAATATGGCCCCTTACAATAAATGATTTATGACATGGAGTTCTTATGGTATGAGATATAGCAAGCATGCTAATTCAGCATCTCTACTTTCTGTGATCAGAGAGAAAATAATGCGTCATGCATTGAGCACAGAACGTTACTACGCAGGAGAATTTGACTTGCTTTTCTTTGTATTCCATTCTGTTTCATTCCACTACTATTTCAGAAAAGATGGTAACATCTGACTCCAGATGTTTGAAAAGAGACTAGGCGAGACGAAACTAACAAATGTCAAAATGGAAACAACCTCAAAAATAGATAATTCCTACAACTAAACTGGCTGAGGCTACAGCACTGACAACATGAGAAATCTAGGCATATCAAAACTTCTATGATTCTGGCATCTCCCACATCTTCAGCTGTGAAGGAAAACTTCACATGAGGCTCGAACAAGACATGCTTGCGGTAGGAAAATACTCGCCAACTTTGTAACGTGCATGAAAGAGTACTTTACCTGGAGGACAGCACTACCACGAAAAGGCAACAGTCACGTCGAAATCATTATGATAAAAAATTTACACAAGTTATGTACGCCAGACGCCAGAACTAATAATGTTAACTATAGGGCAAGCGCAATTAATAGATAAATTTACAACAAAAAAGATATTCCAATCATCATTTCCACCAATTTCACTACCTAAAACCAGAAACCAACATCATATTCAACCGATCCACTATCAGATACCATGTAACCATGTAAGTCCATTCCTTCTCTGTCCGTAAATCATAAGTTATTTCCAGACTTCCACATACCCTTTTTTGAACGCTAACAAGAACGAGTTTCGTTTCTTTAGTGTGCACTTCTATCGATCTTCTTTCAATACACTCATGTCATTTGAAACCACGTTCAAACATTTGAACACAGATTGGTACTAACCCCAATATCCATCAAGTAGAGACACCTGATATAAAGAAATTTCTGGTCCTTCCATATACACACCCAAAATTCCACATCCAAGTAGTTTGAGCTAGTTAATGTAGATTCTTTTAGCAAGCGCAGCACTTCATCCCAACCAACAGTCAGTTTAGTTCCCATTTACGACGTCTTATTCCTTCAATGGTCAAAGCGAGCTCCAGAAGCTGCTACTTTAACCATGCAGTTTTGATTCTATGGGCCAAATTCTTATTTCAATCCCTTTGTCTCAGTTACTGATGCTAGATACTCTGGAATAGCGTTTTCTAGGTGATGCTTCATTGTCTGATTGACTGAAATATCCATTTCCACCTATTTCTCCAAGAGAGATACACCTAATATATTCTATTATGGTCTAGCTAATTTCCAGAACCAAGGTTTCAAAGCGTTCTTCTATAGACTTACATTACACAAAAATATGTTTTGAATGCATCCAATGTACTACAATATCGGTAAACTTGTCATTTATTCAGAAAAATAAGCTTAAAAGTACAAAAACGGCAAAATTAATGTAGACCTCAAATTGATGTAACCGGAGACTTGACCAAAAACAGCGCAACTGTTGTCGAATTTAGACATCCTCGAGCGTTCTTCTGGAAGAAGAATACTTTCCACGCACTCTTTACTAATAGGTCAAATGGTAGATATCTCTGATGCTTACACCAGAATTTTCAAATGTGGACACATTGTGAGCTCATGAGCACCGCTCTGCTATCCAGTAGCTCTTGCCTATCTGATGATGAATAGTTCATTTCCTCAGAACTTTCAGGTAATTGTAAACACTAATTTTCATTTAAACGCAGAGATTATATAAACTTCCCCCTACAATTCTCAAGGCGAATTTTCCCAGGTCATAACCGGCTACATTGTGTTTTCACACGGAAAAAAATAGCAGCATTAAAAGATCAGTCGAGCGTCAGTACTGATCTCATTACCTTGAGTTTATATCGATCTCTTTTGAGATCACTTGTCTTGAGGAAACATAAAAAATCGAGAAATCCTATCTTCGAAAACTCACCTGCCTTCACTAGCGCGTCCCACAACTCCTCCGGAAGGATGCACCCGCTATGTTCGACATCTATAGCCTGGAAGATGCGGTACAGTTCCAGCTCCTTCTCATCCATATACCACCGGAATTCCCGGTAGTCAACACGCCCGTCCCTGTTGGCATCGCATACCTTCAGCAGATCCCTCGCGTACTTGTACTCGGCAGGAATGTTGAGGGCCGATAACCCCGCTTCGATCTGCGCTTGGTCCAGGTGTCCCGCCCCGGCCGCGTCGAAGAAGTCGAATAGGCTCCGAATGCGGACCTCCCGCTCCTCCACCGTCTCCCTCAATGCCAGCAGTACATGTTCCATCGAAATTGGCCCCGGTTTCTTCACCGGGTTGCAGCAACCTGATGGCGGTTGCTTCTGCTGCTCCTGTTCCTGTCGCCCAGGACTATCTTTCTCACCCGACGACGACGATGACGACCAAGGCAGCGGTGCCGGCGGCTTTGTCTCCATCCCCTTAAAACCAGCGTATTACTCCGCCTTCAACCGCCAGCCCAGCCCGGATCATTCAAAACCGATCAGGATCGGACATTCGGAAGGTTCCCTTAGCGAACCCTGCCAGGCGCAATACTTTGCAAAGCAGAAGATGACAAGAAAGTTCCCCGCGCGAGATCGACAGCATCTGCTTCCAAAAAGCTCGCATTCAGGGAACAAATTCAATCACCAGAGAGTAGTAATTGGGGAAAGTCCACGGGAATCCGCCGGATCCCCCTAAAATCAGGCACCGATTCTGGAAATCTCACAGATATCGCTCACAGCAACCCGTATAACGAGCAGACCGGCAGGAACTGCCCCCGCAGGAGCCAGAACATTGGAGCTCTTCTCCTTCTTCCCCACCTCCGCGGACCTCGGATACCCACGGAGCCACGTAGCCACAGAGGTGCGTAGTGAGGCGGTGAGAAGCCGATCGCCGCACTCGCCGGCGAGAGATCGACCGGCCGTCGCCGGAACCCAACAGTAGTCAGCAGAGAAAAATACCACCGAACCAGATACAGCGGGGTAGGAGATGAGAAGCATATTTATAGCCAGCTTCTTTTTTACCAAAAATAAAAAATACCAAATTACTGTCCATGCAAATATCCCCACCCTTTTTTGTAAGAATAAAAAAATGTACATATTTATTTATAGTGGTCTTTTTTGGAAGTGCTTAATATTGATTGGACAAATTTTTACAAAACAATTCGACAAATTAGTATAAAGAAGGTTTTTATTTGGGCTTCGTTCACTGGGAGGGTACGCTGAGCCCGGGGCTCTTCGGAACTCCGCGGTGTCCCATCTCCTCCCGGAGCCCAGCCTTCTCTGTCCACCGTCCGATCCCGCCGTAGGCGTTCGAGAGGAGGACGTAGTCCCCGTCGTGGTCGGGGTCCACCTCGGCGATCTCCCCTCTAACGTGCTCCGCCAGATCAACGTACCCGTGGGCCACGCAGGCACCCAGGAGGGTCCGCCAGATCACCGGGCCGGGCCTGATGGGCATCCGCTGGACAAACTCGTGGGCCTCCCTTACCATCCCAGCCCGCCCCATTAGATCTACCATGCACCCGTAGTGCTCCATCATGGGCTCCAGCCCGTGGTCCCTCTCCATGGATCCAAACAATCTTGTCCCTTCTTCCAGTAGACCCGCGTGGCTACAAGCTGTGAGGGCCCCGATGAAGGCCACGTGGTCAGGCTTCAAACCATCCGATGCCATGCCCTCGAACATCGCCAGCGCCTCCTTCCCCTTCCCGTGGGCCGCCAACGCGCAGACTAGGGACGTCCTGGTGAGCAGGTTCCTCTCTTTAATGGGCATTTCGTCGAACATCTGGCGGGCAATGGAGATCCTGCCGGAATTGGCCAGCGCCACCACCAGCGCCGACCCGAGCGCCGCCGTGACGCGCAGCCCGCGGCGGCGGCACGCGTAGCAATAGACCCACGTCGCCAGCTCCGGCGAGCAGAGCCCGCCGGCGGCACGGGCGGCGCCCACCAGGGCCGCCTCGTCGGGGGCCACTCCAGCGGCCTGCATATGCCGGAAGGCGTGTAGGGCCTCGGCGTGGTGGCCGGCGGAGGAGGCGGCGGCGACGAGGGCGGTCCAGGAGACGAGATCGCGGCGGGGCGGGGGGATCTCGGAGAAGGCGAGGAGGGCCTGGCAGGGGAGGCGGTGGCGGCCGTAGAAGGCGACGAGGGCGTTGGAGGAGTGGGGGTGGCCGGGGGAGAGGAGGCCGAGCTTGGCGGCGAGGGCGTGGGCGGCGCAGCCGGCGAGGAGGCCGGAGAGTGGGGAGGGGTGGAGGGAGCAGGCGCGGAGGACGAGCGGGAAGGTGTAGCCATCGGGGGCGGCGCCGCCGCGGCGCATGGCGGAGAAGAGCGAGAGCGCCGCTGGGGAGCCGGCGGCGGTGCGGGCGTGCGCGCGGATGATGGCGTTCCATGGGAAGGGATGGGCCACCGGCGCGTGCTCGGAGAAGACCCGACGGGCGTAGCTCAGCGATGAAGAAGAGGCGCCGCCGCCGCTGGAGACGAGGAGGAGGATATCGCGGAGGGAGTTGGGGTCGCGGGTCTTGACGAGACGGGCGTGGAGAACGGAGATCCTCCGGCAGTCCGCCATGAGGATCCACCCCGCTCTGTTTCCCTCCCTCTATCTAGCCCTTGTTTGACCATTGCCCGGGGGGAGGAGAGAGAGATAGAGAGAGATAGAGAGAGAGAGAGAGAGAAGAGGTCATGAGAAGGAAGACATTTATTATAACTCTCAGAGGTGTATCAACTAGATGACAATCGCGGACGGTGTATCATTCAAGCAGCTGCTACCCTTAGACTAGTTTCTGTCTCGAAGAAGAAAAGAAAAGCTCGACGCAGAGAGAGAAAGACTGAAACTAGATCTCCTTCTTCCGCCTGGTCCCCCGGCAACGAGAGAGCTTTACATGACCATTCCCCCGTCAATGGTGAACACCTGCAGTTGAGACCAGCGAAGGATCAACGGAGGCCAGTGGAGAGAATCCAACAGCTATAAAGGAAGAACAGATTTTGGGAGCTTAGATAGAAGGATCATTGAGAGAGAGAGAGAGATTGGTCTTTCTACCCTGGTGAGGGTGCTTACGGAGAGAGACAAAGAGAGGGTTTTTCAGCGATAGTCCTTTGCTATAATTTTCTCCCTTCCGGCGTTCTGGGTTTTTATCAAGGCACTAGTTTTGGCGTTTGAGAAAGGGGAGAGAGAAAGAGAGAGAGTAAGAACAGTGAAGGCCGATAAATGAGATGATTCCCTAAGAATTGGGTAGGAGGAGGCATGGACCATTTGATCCAGCTGCTGATAAATTCCAAGATGAATGAAGACGTTTTCTCTCTCTATACCTGCCCGGTTATGTAGCTCGCAGCAGGGTTGAGAGCCAGGAATTCCACCAGGCCGGCAACTTCCTCTGGTTTCCCGTACCTGCCTGCAAAATCAAGAAAAAAGAATGAGACCGACTGCTCATCCTCTCTGATCTCAGCATCTTCAAATGGGAAAGGGCCTCTAAACCTGGTTTTCTTCTTCAATAAAGGCCGAAATTAAAGCCGTGCAATCCTCATTTTTATCTCATACAGACGGATTCAGTTAGAGAGAGAAAATCTCACCGAGAAAAAGCCAGAAAGAGAGAAGAAAGACCAAAACCTGGTAATGCCTTCAAATGAGGTTTATTCACATCCAACCGTGACAAGGGATGTATTAAAAAAATAATAAAAAAGGAAATGATCCTTAATTTCAAAAAACGTAAACCATGAGTCTTCGATCAGACATGAACATTGGGCAGGGATGTTCTTCAACACGATGAACGGTTCTTCAAGAGAATTCTTACCCAAAGGGATGCTATCGAGAATCTTCTTCTCAATGTCTGCTCCAAGCTTGGCAGTCATATCAGACGCAATAAAACCAGGAGCAACAGCATTAACCTAAAAAAATGTAGCATTAAGAAATTCAGTATGATCAAAGGAATTTTTCAACTAGGCCAAGAATTTTTTTTGGTAAGTAAATGTTTTATGGTCCAAGCTCACATTGATGTTTCTGCCAGCGTATTCCTTGGCGACACTCTTGGTCAACCCAATCACTCCGGCTTTGGCAGCACTGTAATTAGCCTGCCCAGCATTGCCCACAAGACCCACCACAGATGATATGTTGACGATCCTGCCCTGAAGAACCCAGTCGATCGATTAACAGTTACATTAAAATATCGGCAAAAAGAGGGGAAATAACAGATGTTAACGAGAAAATGTGTAAGAAAAGAAGTGGAGCTTGCCTTCTTCTTTTTCATCATTATCTTTGCCGCAGCCTGTGAGTAGAAGGTATATTCAGCAGCTGGGTATATACATAAACCATGGATGCGGGGGCCAAGAAGGTCCATACCTGAGTGCAGAGGAAGACACCTGTGAGGTTAGTGTCAATGACCTCCTGCCACTGAGACGTCTTCATCCTCATTAGCAAGGTGTCTCGGGTAATTCCTGGAGATGCCAAGAGGTGTTGTCAGGAGTAGGAGGGGAGAGGGAAGAGCTTTAAGTCAAGATGACCTGCATTGTTGACCAAAATATCAACAGTTCCCCATGTGTTGACAGCCTGAAAGGTAAGTTTTGACATCAGATGATGAAATGTAATTTTTCAGGGTTCTGTATAAGGAAACACCGCTATACTCACAGTCTTGAACATGGCTTCCACGTCAGCTTCTTTTGAAATGTCTCCACCAAAGATAACAGCTTGCCCCCCAGCTGCCTCAATCTGCAGTAAAATCAGTAAATGGCGTTCACCTTGCTGATTCTGTGATTTTGCAGGTGCTAAAAGCTAAATGTGTCATAAATTTAAGATCCAAGTCGTTTGTATACGTCACAGAAGAAAAGACTCACAGGTATTAAAAGACCAAAGCTTGGTGAAACAGATATATGGTTGCCCTATGAAACTAACGTGAGCCGCTAGTATTCCATCAGCATCAGTTATTTTCTGCTCTGACACTCGATATGATACATATGCAGTATTTCAGGTCAACGCCAGTTATTTTATTATGTTAAATAAACTTCCACTAGATGAAGACTAGTGAAGAATTTGGGTCCCTGGTAGACAAATTACAGTCAACCAAGCGATAGCTTTAAGCCTTGTTGAAGTAAGAAAATGATTGCGCCAGTCGCAGGTAAGAAAGTCAACAAAGAGAAATCAAAGATGAGATGATGTAAAGAGAGGCAAATCCCGAACTCGATTAGGATATCGCAGAATATAGGTAATTATTTATTAAGGCTTACGAAATCATTTTCACAAGCAACCACTCTGGATGGAGACCTGCTCTGAATTCATCTATTTCATTCTCCTGCGTCTTTCTGATAGGTCCCTAGTGGGCCTCACGCACTCTGGATGGAGAAAGGGGCCCAAATGACCCAACAGAGAAACCCAAAAAACCCCTCTCATGAAGACTAAGTCAGGGACTATTAGGTCTTTTCCCAACCAAGGGAGAAAGGCATTAGGGTTGGGATCGGGAATGGTAAGGAGGGAGCGATCTATTTGGGGAAAGCCATAGGCTGAGGGAGAGCCGTGATCTTCACAAGCAACCACTCTGGATTCTAGGGTTCACACAAACCCAAATCTCTGTTTTCTACTTTGCGCTCTTCTATTTCAGTGTCTATTCTCTTTCGTTTCCATATTCCTTGCTGTCTGTCAGCTGCTCCAGGTCAGGGTATCATCAATTTCCCAAAATCTTTACATCCTAAGGTGTTTGTGATGTTGTTAAATTATCAGTTAAATGTGCATAAATCATTGAGATTTATATATCCTCATGTCGAACAAGCATTTGTAAATTATAACCATTTTTTTAATGTTCACAGAATAACCAGACTCACCTCTTGTGAAACCTCCTCAGCCTCCTTTGATGACCTTGCATAATTCACGACCACCTTATCAAGAATCAGAGCAAGGGTTATTCGTTAACTATCAGCATCTCAAAGCCCAAAACAATAATGCAGCAAAAATAATCACACTAGATTGACATGAATAGTAGTAAAAGCATGTCTAACATAGAATTTGAGAAATCTGTTAAGATAGCCCTTTCTTCTTCCAAGAGAAATATTTGAGGCAATTGTAGCAGGAAAAGCAGGTTCCTCTTGATAGTGACGTGAAGATGACCTTAAATTGCTGTGATATACGTTGTTCTGATGGCATGAATCTTGCTAATCATTGTTCATAACACACATTGAATCTTTAAACATTACACTTGCACTTCTAGAACTTACTTCATTGAATCTTCCAAAAATATTTTATGGAAGCAGATGTATTTCATCTGAATGATTTTGACCTGATTTCCACCAATACCCACCCATCACAAGCTGCTTCAGCCGGTTGATTTCAGTTCCAAGGAATTTCAAAAGTATGACAAGGGATCGAAATTGGAGAGTAGGCCTTTTCCAGTTAATCTTCCAATTATCTTAAGACCTGCACCCTATGGCCAAACTGTTTATCCAGTAAAATGTATATAAAACTTGATTGAAAAATTACAAAGGGAATTTGCAAGCACTTAATAAATAAACTAGTTTTGAAATGAAATCATCCGCGACTTCATTACTAACCTTGCAACCAGCTTTGCCAAGCGCCAATGCTATTGCTTTCCCTATTCCCCGGGAAGCCCCAGTAATTACAACAACAGGACCTCCTAGTTCTTGAACGTCCTGAACAGATGCTTGTTCAGTAGTCAGAACGCCAGTTTGCACACCTAAATTTGGACAGATTACATGATCATCCACTAACAAACAGAAATGATGGAGTAGTTATTGCTATGCAAGTGAATTTAACCCCATCCTCCACCAACTTTCAAAATGAAACTGTAAGCGCAACTGAGTCTGCCTGGTTCATACAATTTGCATGTTTTATATCATAACACACATTTAAAAGATGGAAAATAAACTGGATAAAGAGAATGAAAATTATTCGTCAATCCTTTGAAAACATAATATTTGCTGAGCCTTATTTATTGACTATTTGTTCTCAAAAGAATTGTCACATCTTAATATCTAATACCGCATAGAAAAAGGTGCAAACAACATCTTAGAATGCAGAAAAAGAGAATGACAAATGATGCACTGAATTACAAGAAGGTGAACATTCAACAAAATTAATAAGGGTTGGGGGATTGGCGTGGGGGAGATAGTCCTATCTTCTTCGTGATTCCTGAGTGGACTCTAGATACTAACCACTAAAATTCGGTGATTACTATTCCCATCACTGGATAAATATGGAAATGATGAACACAAGTTTCTTGTAATTTCAAGCTAACCGATTGATGAAAGGCAAAGTAACGAAAAGTGAGGGTGGGAGATTTCGCAAGATAACTTGATGGCTACTGTTTGAAAGAACCCGAAGAAAAAAAGTACCATGTAGCTTTCACTTGGCAAAGGCCTAATCCATAAAACCAGCAGACACCTTCAACAGCATTCCCTCGTCAGATCCTGGAACAAGGTATCCTCTCCTTGGATCCGAAATTAATCTAGAACATTCGTGGTTCATTTTAAGATAATTTATTTATGATAAAACATTCAGAGGAATGCTATTCTAGTTTCTCCATTTATCTGAGCTGATAACAATTCCATGCAGGTTCTCCATGTCGTGCATTTACATTGCATTTTTACTTGAAACACTCTTGAATCGTGTCAGAGAGGAAAACCCGCTAATCATTCCAAACCCCAGGCTCCTTTTCCGACACAGATTTCTCAATCCTTGACCCAGTGAAACAACCATTAAAGGCATCCCACCAGAACACACGGAGAATCACCAGAGAGGAATAATCAGTTGAGCACAATGAAGAAAAACAACCAATCCGGTCACGTTCGTAGAGAACTAAATGCGAACCAGATTGAGACATGAGAAGACAAAAAGTGAGCCGAGTTTGGATTACCGGCAGAAGGGAGCCCACCAGAGGAAGCGAAACCGCCCGACCCAAAACCAGCGCGCAGGAGAGGAACAGCGGTCCGCGGACCCGACGGTTTCAGGCATCGGAATGACACGATCCTCCTCGATCCCGCATCGCCCTTCGAGTCGCCCCTCCTCGGTGCCGCTGCGCCCGCGGCTGGGTTGAAGACGATGGTGGAAGCGGCCATGAAAGCTCTGTGAAAGAGAGATAGGAGCGGGGGGGAGGACGACCGCAGCGCGGAAGCCGTGGGTAGCGAAGGCAGAAGCCTTATACAGCCGACTCCGTTCCTCGGGATCTCCGACGTCCAGGCTGGGGGCGCTAGTGGAGCGAAACAAGAGAAGTGAGGAAGAAGACCGCCGCCGGTCTGAAGTGGATGAACTTCTCTGACTAAGACAATGCGATAAAATTAATGCCCTGACGGCCAGAGTGGGGGCAGTTTTTATGACTTTACCAAGGTACCTCTATGTTGGAGCATTAATTTTTATGATGACAATAAGATCAATTTTAAACAATTAATTATATTAATTGTCCCTAAACCTGAGTTAAGAGCAAATATTATTTTGGGTATAAACACGAATTTAATTAAATATATATTTAGTAATAAATGAAAGTAATAATGGCATACACTCAAATAAGAATTTAAGAAATACATGTGGATTTCTTAATATCGAATTCTATAATTCGGTGGATTTCATCAATTAAATTCGAGAATACGACTTGGTATATTATTTTAGAAAATAAAAATATTTATAAAAAGTATTATTGTGGAAAAGTAATGATGAGCATTTTAGAATCAATGAGAATTCATGAGGTAAAAGGTCAATACTAAAGCTAACATACTATACTAGATATCTATGATGATAAATCATTAGCTTTGCTTATTTCTGGTCTTGAATTAATTGATTTAATTCAAACCATTCATATTATCACTGAAGATTCTTTAAATATCAATTAATATAATTTTAAAAATATTTTTGAATATTGTGTCACCAAAGTTATGACTTTCAATATTGACAATTATTCATTTGACGTAACTCAAATATTTTTTATTATGAAATTATTTTTTTGATATATATTAATAGTTATGTTTCAACAATATTAGATCTTTATCAGGCTTAGTCAAACTAATAAACTTTGGATATATATATATATATATGTATGTGTGTGTTAGTACTTAATTGTAACACATTTGTTTTTCATAGAGAATATCCAAACACTTAAAGGTGATGTTCTATTGATTTCTGATCTTTTGAATTTCTAACTAATTTAAATATTTAAATATTGAGGGATGACAAAAACCATAGAGTTTTTAATGTAACCCATTGATTTTTTAATATATTTGAACCATCATCAAAATATTATACATTTAGTGCTCCAACAAGTTAAACATACATCAAGTATCGTGCATGTTCTTTTGATGCTTCTTGCGTCAATTATATTTTAAATCATCAACATTAATAATTTAAATTCTTAAATCATCAAATTTTAGATGAGTACTAAGATATTCAATTAACTATTGTTCATTGTGATTCTTTTGTATTGCTTTGGAATTTGGAACACAAACATTAAACAAAAAAAATGTCAAGCTTACTTGTCGTTAGGTATAATAATAATTTGATTATTACTCTATAAAGTTTTTGATTGATTGTTTTCCTTTTCTCATCTAGGCATAATTTACTATTACAATGCATGACATCTCTTCATTTTGAATTCATGCTTCACAATTTTGAAAGTTCATTGCACATCTCTTCATTTGTCAATCTAAAGACAATATCATCAACATTAATCTGGTTTATCAACATATGACTTTCTTTACTTTTGGTGAAAAGTTCTCAAGCAAACTCAATTTTTAGTTATAAATAAGCTTAAAGTTGATGTGCTTATTCATCTAGTATTAGAACCTTACAAAACCAAATGATCAATAAACATTTACTTCTTCTACATAAAAATCTAAATGTCAAACTTATATGAATCTACTCAATATGCACTTCACTTTCATGTGAATATCTTGAACAAATTTTTTGATGTGTAGAAATATTGTTGATAATTCAAACATATAAAATTATTTTAAAAGTATACTCTTAGATGTCTAAATATTCATATTCGATGAAATACATGGTCTAAATTGAATGGATAAATTTAATGCTAAAAATATTCAAAAGTAATGGTATAATATCATGAACACATAATAATTGAGTAAACTTTCATACTTATATATCTTTTTAAGGACTCTTGTTAATTTGGAGATATAATCATTGTTTTCTCATAATTACATATTCTATAAATATTGACATTTCACACAACAATATGTAACATGACATTTTTATGTGATATATTAAATCAGTTACATAAATTCAACATTACTATTCAAAATTATGGTCAATGAATTCTCATGTGATCATTAATAGTACTACATCAAGCTAAATATGGATATTATCATATACATTCTCATATCATGCAAGTTTAAAGAAATTTATAATTTGATCTCCTTATTGAACTTTATGTACAATTTGTTAGGATCAGCGCATCCTTCATACAATGATCAAACAATCTTGAGAGTAAGCATAGCTTTTGAATTTTATGCCCCTTACGTGGTAAATTATGATCTCTTGTGACAATGTGACTTGAAATGAATATTGTTGGTTGTAAATTGGTCCTTTGACTCCAATTTATGGAAGTAATTAGGGATTGAGTTTCATGAGGCCTTCAATTTAATCATCAAGATACTTACTATACATGTTATCCTTGTATTTTGTATTAGTTTGTGTATAACTTGTAGGATGTGTCTAATGCCTTTCTCTATAGCCATCTTAAGGAGGTTTTTTTATGAATCACCTACCAAATTATATCATATCTTTCCACATTATGTATGTCATCTTTACTTGTCTTTATATGGTCTACATTAAGGATTCACAAGATAAAGGTAATGGCACAAAAGTTTTGTTTCTCCAACTCAAACACATGTCCATGCTTGTTACATCATTACTTAAGTAATAACTCAATTCAAATTTATTTGTATGATATATTTTATAAGCTTAGATATAAGCATTGAAACATTAAATGTATGATGTTTTGATAATAATAAATATTCATAAGATCAGTTTAAAGATTCAATTATGTATAATTTTGAATATGCTTGATACATGAAAGTGTTTATATATATTTCAAAATAATGACAATCTAGGAATACATTAAATATAGTCATGATCCATGATTCTGAAATTAATTTACTTCATTGATTTTTTGTGTGAACTTATTACTTTACATATTATTGTGGAAATCACTAATATTTATTAGAAATACTATAGTGAGAAATAGAATGATTAAGATATTCAGATCAATGAAAATTTGCAAAGTAAAATATGAGAATAAAATTTGAATTAGTCCACTATGTATCATGTGTTTATATTACTACATTTAAATTGAATTGACACTGTTGACTCAATTCATGCAATTCATTCTGTTGTACATAATTTTTGAATGTTAACAAAGAAAATTTAAAAATAGTTTTAAAATTTATAAATCATTGAAGTTGAGTTTATATATCTGGATCTTGATTCCATATGTATACATGATGATTACATTTTAATTGAGGTAATTTAGGTTAGCTTTGATTACTGAATCACTACTTTAACCAGACTTACATCATTATTAATGTGATAGTAATGTGTTCTCAATATGAAATCTTTTATCAGACTAATTTCAAATCAATTAAAATTTTATATGGACATTATGTCTTAATGGTAATACATATTGGCATTTTAAAATATATCAAACCCTTTATCAAATATATTGTATTGATTTCTTTGTCATTTAAACTTATTTTTATTTTAAGAAAAATTAGACATAAGAGGATTATGAAAACCTAGGAAGACTTTTCTTCTTAATTTACCTATAAATACCATATCTTTCCAATGGCTAAATTTAAGACAACAATCATCCTTATCTTTATTACAGCCTCGAGCATTCTATTGAGTGATTTTGTAAAAAATCTAAAGATCAATGAGAAAGTCTTTCATGACTAGTCAAAATGTGTGAAGGTATTGAGTTGAAGAACATTCTTTAGGTATTCAGTGGTTACTGACTTTTTCAAAGCAACAACACTTTTCATCATCTAATAGCCTCCTAATATTAAGAGAATAGTAGAAACCAGCTCTCATACATTGTTCTCATTATCAAACTTCTAAGCTCACTCTTAGATGGCATCATCTTGAAGTGAAATTTTTCTTATTTTTTGTGAGATAAATTCATAATTGAATTCTTATTTAATCACTTGAGAGAAATTTAACCATTAGTTAACTTTGACAATATAGGGCCATGAATCTACAAATGAAATTCTTAAAAAAATCTTTAGTGAATTGAACCCAACAATTAGAAGTTGTGATTACGTGATAAACCTTAGTGAAATTCAAGAATAAAGTTTTTTCTTAGAGAGTGGATATAGGTAGTGAGTTAAACCACTTTAAAAATCTCAATGTTATTATAGAAAGACTATATGACTTCAGATTTTAAGAAGAACCATAATTTACTTAAAGAGAGGAATTACGAATTAAGCATTATAAACTAATCAAGTCAACTCCCTCTTCTTGATCTAAATTGCCCATAAATTAAAAAGTTGGGGTCATTGAGGTCACATCATTAAGTGATGAGTTTATAGTTTGTAATTTTTCTGATGTTCAATACAACTTGAGAATTGAGCTCTAACGTCATCATAATTATTTTCCTCCCTCAAACAAAATGTATTGCCGATCAATTTCAAAGGGTCAATTTGAATACTTCTAAATTGATTAGTACCTCAACATACATAATTATTCAAGACTATGTCTTATCATCACTTTAATATTTTTCAAGACTACTTCACTATCTTTAGCTATATATTGTCTTTATAATTAATTATCCCTCTTAATTCATTATGATCCATAGAAAAGAGATTAAATTATACAAAAACATATTTTTTGATATTCCAAAGGAACTGTTGGACATGGTTTAATACTTCAACATTCCTCTTGTACTCAACTCAATGTCTTAAATGTTGTAAATCGGACAATATTTTTCAGCATGTGACCTTCCACTAGTAATTACCTTATCTTCCTTGTATGTATCTTTATTTTATAGAGCTAAAAAAAAATGAGGTATACTGACTAGATCTAACACTACAAAAGTGAACAAAAGCCATTTTAAATGTCA